ATTCAATCTGAAGAAATCACAGAGTTGTTTTTTTTTTAATATGAAAAGAACTTTAAAAAAGAACTTTATTGAAATCCTCAAAGACATGGAAGAAGAAATAATATCCATGAAGCAAAGAACAGAACAGGAAAATATGAAAGTGTATCAACTAACTGGAGGCCAGGCACAGTGGTTCATGCCTGTAATCCCAGCACTTTGGGAGGCCAAGATGGGTAGATCATCTGAGGTCAGGAGTTGACCAGCCTAGCCAAAATGTCAAAACTCTGTCTCTACTAAAAATATAAAAAAATTAGCTGGGGGTGGTGGTGCATGCCCAGTTACTCAGGAGACTGCAGGAGAATCACTTGAACCCAAGAGGCAAAGGTTGCAGTAAGCCAAAATTGAGCCACTGCACTCCAACCTGGGTGACAGAACGACACTCTGTTTCAAAAAAACAAAGTGAATCAACTGGAAACCTTGCAAATATAGCATATGTAGTCTTTTTTTTAAGATGTCTTAAGTGGTATAATAGAGACGGCTGAAGAGAAAATCAGTGACTTGTAATCTAGCACTCTCCAAGAATGTACCATTAACAAACAAAGGTAGGAAATACACAAATCTAATGAAATCTAAATTATCTCCCCAGAAAAATTCACACATGTACCTACATACAAAGTTTTATATATCCCTGAGGCCCAACTTCTACCCCAGAACTCTGAATACAAAATATCTTGAGATCTGAAATCTGTCCCACTATATTAATGAATACAATAAAATGTTGGCTCAAGGCTCAAGAAACTGACATTAAATTTGAGTTAGGATCAAATCAAAGAGAAGCCAAACCAAGGTAAGCCAATTAAATCTGATTAAGAAATAAAACAAAGTGTCCCAAATCCTGATATTCTGTTATAAAATATAGGTGAGATTCAGAAAATTAATTAATTATCTATAAGCAAATAAAAGAACTCATGTACATTAAACTTTGTTAATTATACCAATAAGTTATCACTTTAGATGCAGATATGATTTTAAAGTTCATATTACCATCACCAAATGTGACCCACAAAAGCATTTGTAATAGGCACAAATAATTTTTCAAAAGAATGTGAAATGACTGGCATGGGGATTCAAGATTGGCAGCGTTTGAAAAAGGCAAAATTGTTCTGAATTAGAAACAATAGCAGCAATAATGAAACTTGATGGAAAGATCTGGAGAAACTACCTCAAATAAGGGGAAATTATAAAGACTATAAGTTAAAAGAGCAATAAAAGCAAAATCTCAGTGGCTTGAACACAGTGATGGTGGGTGGTAGGCCGAACAGAACTGTCCAGTGGCAATTTAGGTAATCTATGAATATAAGCTTTATAATGCCAGCCCTGCAATATTTTCACTAATATCAACATATTCCTAATTTTTTAAAATAGGAGTGAGAGAGGTAATGAGGCATTGCATCTCCTACAAGTTGGCCATAAACTGCAGGGAAGATGGGGAAGCTAGCCAAAATCTGTCCTACACAAGAAGTATCTATATTTTTCATTTACAATGAACCTAAACAGAAATGTTTGGTCCTCATCAAAACTTGGATGGAAGACAGCTCTCTTACAGATTCTGAAAACACAAAAATTCTCCTTAAAATAGACTTGAGATGTTTCAGAATATAAAATTCATACGACATATTGAATATCTTCTGTTTAAAATAGCTGAAGTATTTGAAAGGTAAAATGAGGACCTCTGAAAATCTCTAATGAAAAATTGGAAGTAAAATTGTGTCTCCTGAACATTTTTAAATGCTTTAATAAATGTCAGTATTAAAATTCTTTCAGGATGTATACATCCATAGGTGTTCTTCAAGCTGATGTGGAGATAAAGTACCTTGGTTAAAGACCTTGCAATATTTAGCTACATATACAGCCATACCTCAGAGATATTATGGGTTAGTTCCAGACTACTGCAATAAAGCAAACACTGCAATAATGCAAGTCACATGAATCATCTAGTTTCCTAGTACATATAAAATTATGTTTCATTATATCGCAGTCTATTAAGTGTGCAATATTATATCTAAAACATGTACACATTTTAATTTAAATACACCTTATTGCCAAAAATGCTAACAATCATCTGAGAATTAAGCCAGTCGTAATCTTTTTGCTGGTGGAGGGTCTTGTCTGCTGATGTTGATGGCTGCTGACTGATCAAGGTAGTACTTGCTGGAGGTTGAATGGCTGTGACAATTTCTTAAAATAAGACAATAATGAAGTTTGCTGCATCAATCGACTCTTCCTTTCATGAAAGATTTCTCTGTAGCATGGGATGCTGTTTGATAACATTTTACCCACAGTAAAACTTCTTCAAATTGGAGTTGATTCTCTCAAACCCTTTAAAGCCACTGTTTTAGCAACTAAGTTAATGTAATATTTTAAATTCTTTGTTGCCATTTCAACAGTGTTCAAGGACCTTTACCAAGAGTAGATTCCATCTCAAGAAACCACTTGTTCTGTTCATTCATAAGAAGCAACTCATCATCCACTAAAATTTTATCATGAGATTACAGCAATTCAATTCCATCTTCAGGCTTCACTCCTTATTCTAGTTCTCTTGCTGTTTCTATCACATCTGCAGTTACTTCCTCCAATGAAGTCTTGAACCTCCCAAAATCATCCATGAGGGTTGGAATCAACTTCTTCCAAACTCCTATTAATGTTGCTATTTTAACTTCCACCTAGGAACTGTAAGTGTTCTTAATGACATCTAGAATGGTGAAACCTTTCCAGAAGTATTTTCATTTGCTTTGCTCAGATCTATCAGAAGAATCACTATTCATGGGAGCTATAGCCTTACAAAAATATTTCTTAAATAATAAGGCTTGAAAGTCTAAATTACTCCTTGATCCATGGGCTGCAGAATAGTCGTTGTGTTAGCGGCATGAAAATAACACTAAGCTCCTTGTACATTTCCATCAGAGTTCTTGGGAGACCAGGTGCACTGTCACTGAGCAGCAATCATTTGAAAGGAATCTTTCTTTTTCTGAGCAGTAGTTAAAATATTCAGTAAACCATGCTATAAACAGATGTGCTGTCATCCAAGCTTTGCTGTTTCATTTATAAAGCACAGGCAGAGTGAATTTAGCATAATTCTAAAGGTCCCTAGGATTTTTTAAGTGGACAGTGAGCACTGGCTTCAACTTAAAAGTCACTAGCTGCATTAGCCCCTCACAAGAGAGTTAGCCTGTTCTTTGATACTTTGAAATCACGCACTGACTTCTCTTATGTAGCTATGAAAGTCCTAGAAGGCATCTTCTTCCAAAAAAGGGTGTTTTGTCTACATTGAAAATCTGTTGTTTCGAAGAGCCACCTTCAAAAATGATATTAGCCAGATCTTCTGGATAACTGGTTGCAGCTTCTACAACAGCACTTTCTCCATCACCATGCACTTTTATGTTATGGAGACAGTTTATTACCTTAAATTTCATGAACTAGCCTCTGCTGGTTTCCAGCTTTTCTTCTGCACCTTGCTTACCTTTCTCACCTTTCACAGAATTGAAGAGAGTTTGGGCCCTACACTGGATTAGGCTCTGGCTTAAGGGAATGTTGTGGTTGGTTTGATCTTCTATCTAGACCACTAAAACTTTTTCCATATAGGCAATAAGGCTATTTCACTTTCTCAAGATTTGTGTGTTCTTTGGAGTAGCACTTTTAATTTCCATTAAGAACTTTTCCTTGGCATTCACAACGTGGCTAACTGGTACAAGAAGCCTAGCTTTCGGACTATCTTAGCTTTCGACATGCCTTCCTCCCTAAGCTTAATCATTTCTAGCTTTTTTTTCTTTCTTGCATGTCCTTCCAATGTAGCATATCTACCTTTTGATTTAAGTTAAGAGATGTACAACTCTTCACCAGGGAGTGGCTGTTCGATGGAGCAGTCAGAACACACACATTTATCTATTTGATTTGATATATGAATACAATTCATATGGCAGTCCCCCAAAATAATAACAATGATAATATCAAATACCATTGATCACCGTAACAGATAAAATAATAATGAAGTCTAAAATGTTGTGAGAATTACCAAAATGTAATTGACACAAAAAGAGCACATGCTGTTGGAAAAACAGCCCAGAAAGACAACTGATACACAGTTGCTACAAACCTTCAATCTGTTAAAATTAAATAAATAAACTGTGTTTTTTAAGGCAATTACCTGAGAAGCGCAACAAAGCAAAAGACAATAAAACAAGGTATGCCTGTATTTGTCTTCTTTGAGTATTTTCATGTTATTTTAAAAGAATACAAATCAGTTTGTTTTGAAGGTTCACAATTTTAAAAGAATAGTGTCTGGTTTGAAATAATAAATCTGAATCACAACAGAGCTGGCTCCTTTGAAATGCATTCACATTGCAAAATGTAGAAAATGGTTCTATTCTGGATGAAAGATCTCTGTAAGTGTTTACACTTTCCACCTAGAAACAGTTTTATATGAGGCTGTCTCATCTCATGCCATCTGACAGATGCATTTATGTATGAATCTTTGCTTCCCCTCAAAACATCTTTATTAGGGAAGAAATTGAAGTTTTCAATTTTTGCAGGCCACTTACATTTTCTCTTTTCAAGGTGAAACTTTCTGGCCAGGGTCCTTTTTTCCTAATTATAAGCAGCAGATACAAAAATGTGTGGTGTGGAAGGTCATGGAGGCCTTCCCTGGAGAAAATGTTTCTTCATGTTCACGAAATAAAATTAAGTTGAAATGATTTCTAAATCAACATTTCCAGACTTCATTATAATTATATTTAAAGCCAGGGTATAAAAACAATAGGTAGTAAAATCTTAACTTATCAATATAAATACTAAAAATGCTCTAGAAAATTTCCAATGTATCATTGTCAATACATAGATAGTATTTAGGAAAGTATATCATTGAGAAAAACATATACAACTAAGTTTAAATATTTGCCAAGATAAAAGTGATGCCAAGGAAATTAAAAATAAATATAATAAATAATTTTCTAAATGACACTCACCAATCACAATGGAAGATTCACAGTGATAATAACCATTACTTTGTTTTTTCTTCTCCATGGAGCAAAGATCTATGCGATATAATATTTCTTCTCCAAATCTGTGACTGATAAACTTTTCATATAAATCAGGATCTATTTTTTTCACTCCCTTGAAATGAAAAAACAAATAAATCAATCAATCATTTTACCCAGGCAGCCAATTCATAGTTACATCATTTTCTTAGAACCTGATTATTACATTTTGGTATAAAGTACACCACTGCCTACAGGCACTTGAAAATGGATACATAACAACAAAATCGTTATAAAGTTGTTTTTCAAGTCTCCCTGCCTAGAATGAGTTGTATTTTAAAACCATCAATAAAAAGTGTTAGGTTTAAATTTGGCAGTTTTTCTGAACTTAATACATTTTAAGCTCCGAAAATAAGTATACTGAGTTAAAACTTGAGATACCAAGGAAAGACTAACCATCCCCAACAATAATGGAGAAATGGATCAATTTTTTTAAAGCAAGGTAGGAAAAAATAAAATAAAATAAATCTTTAAAAAGTAAGGTAGATCTTAACATTCTATAGTGGGAAAATGTTCTAATAAGACAGACACAATTTTTAAATTCCTTATGTTAGAATCATCTGAAAGACAATTAAAGACGACTTGAATTGGAGTAGGGAGGTGAGTGGATCTTCCAAGTTCTTTCTACCTGCTCCTCGTTATTTTCAGTGTATTTTCTTAGCAGAAACAGATGGTTGTTGAAAAATTACAGTGGGATGTCCTTGGTACCTCTGTAATTTCCCAAATACGGGAAAGAGTATCTCTACCTCTGCTATACTATACAATGGCCCTGCAACTTGGCCTCAGAGTCCCAAAATACAGTCCATAAGATGAAGGTAACTAGAATACATATTTTCTCTTTTCACTAACAAAAACTTACTTAGAAAATTAGTTAATAGAAAAAAATTGATAAAAACAAAAAAAATCATTACAAACTGCTACTGCTATAGTTTTATGCGTTTAGTTTTTCCTATGCAAAAACAAAGCATATTTTTTTCTCTTCTATAGAACGTGGTTGCTCCCTGAGTACTATTTGATAACCAGCTTTATATTTTCAGTAAATATGCTGTGTCAGTAAATAATATACAGATGTGCCAATTATTTCTCTCCATAGAACTTCATTGCATGGAAGTCTCATAATTTATTCATTCAATTATTTACTATTGGACATTTAGGTTGCTCTTAATTTTTAATACTATATATTAAACGAGTTTTTGTTGATATGTTTTTGTTCAATATCTAAAACTGGGCTCCTAATCTCTCCCACTTACCTCCAAGTGTTATGAGACTAAGTTAATTTCTAAAAGTACTTAAAACAATGAAATATAATGAATTATATACATATAAACATACATTCATATAGTCACTATTATCATTAGTGAACTTCATGTAATAACTTCAGTCAAGATAAGACTTCAAATATAAAAACATTCTGAGTAAATGGAAAATGACCAACCATTCTTGTCTTTTAAATGCTTGTGTGTGTGTGTGTAGGGGTGTGTGGGTTGGAGAGAATCATTCCTTTAGACTGGCGATAAGACTGGTGATAACATAGCAGATAAATAAGAACCTTCAATTTTCAAGAAACCGGTGCCAGCACTGATGAGCCACTATCACTATAATCTTCACATCAGTTTTGCAAAATGTCTTTTTTTTAAAGTAAGAAATAAAACATGAGATTGACTCTAATATTCTAGGCTTACTAATTTAATTTCCACAAAAGGTAAACACCAATTGTTTTGCAAGAATATTTCACAGATGACTTCCAACATGAGTCTTCAGGAGTTAACTTCTACTACCAAGTGAAACAGAATTCCTTAACTCATAATTTATAGAGAGAGCTATGGTTGAAAAGGCATGATGCCTTTAGAAGGCACTGAAATTACATGCCCTGATCAGAAAAATCTTTAGCAATAAACAATCTAGAAATAGCTAAACCTCTGCACTGTCTGATATAAATTACAGTATCAACATGATCTTCATTCTCTGGAGAAATTTTTTGTTTGGCAATATATTTCTTTTATGATAAAATTTATCTGAATTGATCTCACCATCAAGCTGCAACAGGTGGTGTTTTCTTCCTTACTAAAAAAAAAAAAAAAAAAAGGGAAGACTATGATTCTGAGAAAATAAATGATACCTCAAAAGTGGATGATTTAGGGTAAGACTAAGAAGGGCCCTATTTTCTGAATGAATCCAGAGGGATGGCAAAATTGTTTCAGAAGCAACATCCTTCCAGATTATGTTTTAAAGCTAAAAAGGCTGGGTGATGGCGTTATTTTCAGGTTGTGGACCTCCCCAAATTATTCGCTGCTTCCCTTCATCATAGGCCAGACCCAAGGCACTATCACTTAAATATCAATGGAGGTACACAATGTTAAGAGGGTTCAAAGGATATGAAAATTGTTAAATTTGACCTTTAAAGGCTAAGAGTTGGGACTATTTCAAATGTAGAAGAATAATATGTAAGGTATCTTTAACAAATCATGCTCCTGGTGTTGCAACCCTAGAATTTTGAATATGATTGGTGATGGTCTAGTACTTTGAAGGTTATTTTTGCCTTGAACATAACAGGGACAAGGTATATTTTCAAGGGCTTCATATTTATAATTGTACCCAATATAAGTGACATGGCAATTATGTAACATAATATTAGAAGAGAAAAATAGGAGGTTAAGTATGGAATATCAGACTTTGAAACAATAAATCAGTGGCAAGAAATGTCAAACAGAAAAAAGTTTTCAAGGCTACTTAATTAATCATTAGAAATAACTGAAGTTTTAACTTATCTTTAGCCTAGTTTCAATCACAGTTTAGAAAAAATTATCAGCGATGTTCAAAAACACTTGATAAGCTTTGATACAATGTACAGTGAACCAGGAATTTCATTCTTGGTTGTAATTTGGCACTCAAACAGTCCACTCCAGAGAAAATGCCACTGAAAGCATGGGTATTTTTAGAATCATCTGATGGCTCAATCTGATATGTAATGGAAATTATTTACTCAGGAAGCACTCACCATATCATTTACATTTAGCTAAATGATGTGCATAATATGTGCCCAAAAAGGCTCACTCACACTTATATTACTATGCCTCTGACCCTATTTTTAATACAGTCACAAAATATGTAAGTTCAAATTCTCAAAGTGAAAATCATTTAATGTTCAAAAGGTACATTTATTCATCTTTAATTTTTATGACAAACTTTTTGTCTAAATAATAGAAATTAATATTAAGAGGGTTGAAACTTTTTTGTAATAGAACATAACTTCATATTGTTACTTGTTATAACAATCACAACTTCCATGAGGAAAATATGAATGGATTTCATACAAGATTTATTTGAACGGGCTTCATATAAGAAATTATTTGTCCTATTGATAGTAAGCTTGGCATTCCTGGATCTCTGCTATGTTTTCCAATAGTTTACTGCTGACATGCAAGTAGGTATAAAAGAAATATATATTTCCTGGCCAAACATGGTGGCTCACACCTGTAATCCCAGAACTTTGGGAGGCCAAGGCGGGCAGATTACAAGGTCAGGAGTTTGAGACCAGCCTGATCAATATGGTGAAACCCTGTCTCTACTAAAAATACAAAAATTAGCTGGGGGTGGGGGCAGCACCAGTAGTCCCAGCTACTCGGCAGGCTGGGGCAGGAGAATTGCTTGAACCAGGAGGTGGAGGTTTCAGTGAGCCGAGATCACACCACTGTACTCCAGCTTGGGTGACAGAGCAAGACTCCATCTCAAAAAAAAAAAAAAAGGAAAGGAATATATATTTCCTGTGATAATGACTTGACACCAAAATTAAGAATGGGATTTAAGAGCCAAACTCGCTTTTCATTTTGGGCATCAGCTGGTTAAAGAATAGTAATCCTTTACACTTATTTTTTAAGTGGCAAAAGGTTACATTTGTTTAATGTTATATTGGTTAAGAAATTGAAATCACTTTTAGTAACCATTGCCCCAATGCAAATGTACATATTGGCAATTCAAAGTTATGAAAACATCATATATTGGCATGGGGCTTGTCCACAGCAAATCTTAAAGTTCTTCATGACTCCTTCACCTCTTTGCCTAACTCCATTTTTGGCTGTTATTTGCACTATATCCACCATCCTCCTGATACAGAACACTTAGTTACCTCCTCACCAGCTGCAGCCTTCCCTCAGCTCCTCTGAGTCAGGAAGATACTCAGTTCCACCCCAGCCTGTTCTTGAAAGGGAGGGAAAGAGATGAGGAGCTTTACCACGCCAGTCAACTGGCTCCAGAAGAGCACAGTAATTTTAGATCACGTCCAGCACCTAGGGTCTTCTCCAGCCGTTCTGGGTCAGTCTAGGTGGCTGGACTCTGCTTTGGTCCCCTGGTAAAATACACCTGTTTCCTGCCTCGTTGAGGCCCTCACACCCCGCACACTGCTTGTCAGTTCGTTTAGAGAAGGAAAAGTAAGAAGTGATGAAAAATAGAAAAGTCAACAGTGCTTTATTATTGTGACCCAATGTGAAAAAAAAGATGCCTTCTATCATCTATATTACAGTAATAGAAAATAAAAAGCATTTACTATGTAAGGCACTGTTCTAAGAACATTTCTGAACTCATTTAATAATCACGATAACATTATTATCTGCAGATAAGAAAACTAAATCACAGAGAAAGTACGTTATTTACCAAAAGACACAGCTAGTAAGAGGTAGAGCTTGGATACAGATTCAGAGTAAGTAGAGAACACAATACATTGAAAAGAAGAACAGAATAATAATTTTCAACCCTCCATTATTTACTTTAAAATACTAAAATTGTAAGAATATTAATCATTCTTAAGATATAATATATATGATCATATTTCCAAAACCAATGTCAAAATTACTTTGGGAACCTCTAGCATTCTAAAATATCTGCTCTTAATATATTATATGAATATTAATAAATCAAATGATAAGTATATGTCATAGTAAATTAATTTCAGAGATGGAGATAAGAAAGAATTCATAGATGCTAATTATACATAGAAAAAATATCCAAATAATCCAGCCTATAAAAAGAATGCTAATATTCCAAATAATTGGGTAAAATACTGATATAGATGGTCTAAGT